TTATCTTTGATGATTGCAAGAGAAAAAAAAGAATTTACATTTAGAAAAAAAAAGGTTACAAACTAATTTTGTGGTGTTTCAACTGGAATAAATATATGAATTAAAGTTTATTGGTAACGTTCGATTAACATTGCATGACCCTAACCAAAAACAACTCGTTATTAAAAAATAATTTTCTTCAAATCTACACTTACTTGACCACCAGCAGCACAAGCAGCTAATACGGCTAAACGTTTATTTTCTCGAATTAATCGATTAGCAGCTGTAGTTACAAGTCGAACACCGGTTGCACCAAATGGATGACCAATACTTAATGATCCTAAAATAAATTAAATTGATGATTTTTATATAAATAATCAAATACAACATACCTCCCCATTTATTGAATTTATCAAGAGGAATTTCACCGACCTAATAATTAATTATATAAAAACAAACTACCTAAAAGAACTATAAAGAAATTCTTACCTTTGATGAACGATTAAGATAAGTTTTAGCAAAATAATCCGAATCGAGTGCTTTTAAATTGGCTAAAATTTGACCCTAAAATTAAATGTACATAACAAAAAGAAAAAAAATTTCTTCTTCATTTTTCTTTTACTGCAAAAGCTTCATGAAATTCAAATACATCAATATCATTTAATGTTAAGCCACATTGATCAAGTAATTTAGCAGTTGCATATGTAGGTCTTTAAATAAATAAATAGAAAATATTTTTCCATTTCAAACGCTTTTAATCTTACCCAAGTAAAAGTTGATCTTTTGGATCTTGCGATGTAAATACATAACGTCTAGAGGGGAAAAACAAATAAACAAAATAATTCAAAAATATAATTTCTTTTCATTTACCGAAGATAAGCTTTTGGTTTTAATCCAAGTTCTTTAGCTTTATCAACAGATGTAACTAATGATGCTGATGCACCATCAGTAATAAATGATGAACTAGCCGCTGTTATTGTTCCATATGGTTTAATAAAAGCTGGTTTTAATTTACTCATTTGTTCTAAAGTTGATACACGAATACCATTATCACGGCTGACAACGTCTGGTGCGCCTGAAAAAGAAATTTATTTAAATTATGTGGGTTTTTTTTCAAATATTTTACCTGGAATATGCATTGGTATAATATCTTCAAGATATCCTTTTTCTGTTGCTTCCTGTGCTAATTGATGTGAACGTTGAGCATATTCATCTTGTTCTCGACGTGATACATTAAACGCAGCAGCTAAACGATCAGCTGATTGACCCATAATTTCACCAGTAGAAAATTCAGCAATAGTCGGAGCCTATTTAGAAAATATTTCTTGTTTTTTATATTTGTTTATTAATTCGACTAAAGAAAAATAATTTGTTTACTTCAGGTACGAAATTTTTTAATGATAACATTTTTGCAGCTAATCCTAAACGTTGTGTTGTTGATTTAGCTCGATTTAAACTTAATAGTAATTTTCTCATTGAACGTGGATAACGTATAGGAACATCAGACATAAAATCAACACCACCTGCGACTACAATATCATTTTGACCAGTAGCTATATCATTTGCCGCTAAATCATAAAACGCATATATGTTTCATACAGTATTCAAATTGATGCAAGAAATTTTTTATGAATTGAACAAAAATATAGCAACGATATGTTTTTTATATCTGTATTCAGTAATGCAACTATGAATTATCGTTCTTTTCCTTATCGACATACATTTGGAAGTTGAGTCTTAAAATCGAATTAATCCACCTAGAATAAACGGTCACGGCCTTCTGTTCCAAGTTAATTTTTTGCTAACATTTATCTAGAAAACCAAAAGTTCTTGATAAAATTCTTTCGGTATTCAGACATGCGTTTTTTGAAATAAACGCCAGAAAAAAAGAGGAATTTTGAGTGAAAAAGAACGGTACTTTGCTTTTAGAAAAAGATAGGAGAATACCCCTGTCTCTCGCCTTTCTTCTGACATAGGATGCTGCCTAGCGACAGCTTCAATTGGTCAACATCTTCCATATAATTAATATTAGTTGTAAATCTGAACAGAAAGTCAACCTGATGCAGTTTTTATACTCAATTGCTTCTACTTTACATGCACACTAACTAACCACATGCTAGCTACAAGAATAGACATATGTCACAACATTGTCAGCATGCTATCGGATTGATGATTCAACACAAATAGCCGTTAGTGACTTGTCCAAGGTCATTTCATAGCTGATGATACTGAGGTTTGATTGAGATATCTTGCGGACACGTTTTGAACAAAACAGATACTCAGTCATGATGGCAATGACTTTTAGAAAATCCAGTCTTCTACTACGCCTTTCAAAAATTTTCGTATGGATGGCCTGCTAATATAGAATAGCTTTTAATTCTGGAGAAGTTTAGTAGACTTAGCCACTGTTATTATCATCACCGATTTTTTCGAATAGAACACTAATTTCATTTTAAAAAGATCCTTTCCTAAAGTTACTTCAATTTTTTTTTGTGTCAGTTTCTCGTAAAAAAATATTGTGTTTTAAATATTCACATTTCTATTACAAGAGATATTTTGTTAAATACATCACACTTTAGCAATTACCTGAAGCAATAGCAACATTTGATGATATACAAGCCATTGTAACTGTATGTGCAGGAATTTTATTCGAAAATCCAGCACTAAGTAAAGCCTATTATGACGAAAAAACAAAATAAAAAAAATCAAATGAAAACTCTTAAAACAAAATTTCAATACTTCTCGAGCAATATTTGATGTTTTAACTTCTTGAATAACTGTACCCATAATACAATATTCTGGTAATGATTTATCAATATTTGTCCGTTTAACAAGACCACTAGATCAACAAAATTGTTCTTCACGAATTCTTTTTTGTTTTTGATAAGAAAAAATAAACTTACAGGAGAGCATGTCGAGCTAATTGATAACCCATCAAATCTTTATAAGACGTAAAACTTTGTAAAAATGGTGTTCGAACACCATCAATAAAGACTACATCACGACCAATGCCTTTAATAGATTCTTAAAAACAAAAAAGAACATTTTTATTGATTAATTTTCTTTCTCTATAATTTACTTGTTTTGTTCGATGAACTTGTACCACTGACATGCTGAGCACCTGTTTGTCCTTGATTTGGTGTTGTAGAAGATTTTGTCGTGTTCGTTGCCAATGAACGAAGAAAATGGGCATTATTATGACGTAAATGAATGAAGCCTATAGTGTTAATTGTAGAATTCTTTCTTAGTATTTGAAATTAATGAAAAAATAAAATATAAATATACCTTGTTGAAACGAACAGCGAAAAGCCATTAGAATGTTTCTTTTTTATCTAAATAAGAACATGTATAACGAGAATTAAATTAATTGAATTTTATCTATTTTATGGGTGTGGTTAAATGATAAATATGATCCTGGAATTTGAACTACACTTTTATTGATTGATAACAATAGACGAATCATTATAATTGTACAGATGTCGTATTTCTACAGTTTAATCTTTCTCTATCAAGTTTTCAATACGATATAAAATTTCTTCTCTTTTTTCTTTGTGTAAGTAGATGAATAATATGAATACATCCATTGAAATTAACTTCTCAGCTATTATATTGTTCATTAAGAAACAAAAGTTCTATAACCACAATTGAACAGATTCTTTCTTTCTTTCTGAATAGACAACAGAGACACATAAAATGTTCTTCTCATTGTGTCTATTACATAGATATTGCCCATCTTATGCCCACTGTATATTGTATGATTGTTGCATAATAGATCCATTTTCTTTCATTGTATTATAAAGGCTTTATGAGAGAAGCGTGAGTATATATAAGCGGCATACGTCCCCCTAAAGGCTAATAATGGCATTGTAGCAAACAACAATTGCTCATTGAAGCGTACATGCACATGTAGTTTTTCGATCAATTAGAGATCTGTGATGGAATCTCTAATAACCTAAGATAAATTAAATTAAATTGTTCTCTTAAAGAAAACAATTCATTCATTTCTAAATATTAAATTTTGAACAAAAATACTAAAAAGTCACGTTTACAATTGAATCAAGACTACATCAAACAAGAAAACGTTGCATGTCTAATGAACTTAGTGACTATGAAATAATTATTCTCGAAGAACATTTCTTTTGTTGTCAACGTTTGTTTTTTGTGTTCTCATTGTTAATAGATTTGTACCCATCAGCAACAAGAGTATAGAAGAACGTCCTTTCGTATACAATGCTTACTGATGTTTGCTTGTGCTTAGCACTAGTGGAACTTTATCGGACGCTGTATGTCGGTCAGGAGAAAGAATTTATGCTGCATTTGACCAATCGAGAAAGAGAAGAACGTTGTTCATCAACATTCTACTTCTCTTCTTTTTCTTTCTTCTCCTCCTTCGTTTTTCTCTTGACGTATGCAGAGAATAAGGGAGGAAAATCTCGCCGTCGACCGTCGTTGTCGACGAAATATATATATATATATATGTGCGTGTGTGCTAGATGAACGAGAGTATATACTAAAAGAGAGGAAAAAGTTGGATGGTAGTGGGAAGAGAAGAGAAGTAGAACGAGAGAGACATCGACCGACGTGTGCACAAAGAACATCACCCCTCCATCTATTGCTTCTCCTCCGACAACAAATAATACGAACGAGCTGCGGTTTACATTCAAATAGTCCTGTAAGTGAAAAATTGAACAACAACAAAAACTAATAACAACACTCGTTTGTCTTCAATTGATTATGACATCGTCGCCTTTCGTTATATGTACAATGAATAAATATTTTCAATTGATCTATTAAAATAAAATAAATATGTCACAATAATATCATATCTGATCCATAGACTACAGTAATTATCAATTAAATAATATATTTTATTGTCGCAACGATTTACTTTATACACACTCACATATACACAGACATAATTCGTATAATGATCTGTGATTAATACAGACGAAAAGATTTCTTTTTTTGTTATTAATTACAAATTTCAATTTATTGCTATATTAAAAGAAGCGAAAAGAAAAATGAATGTTATTGAAAATGCTGAAAAAGAATGTGCCGTACTTGGCACATTATTTCAAGGAATTGTCAATGAAATGAAGGTTAGTACTAATAAATCATAATTTCTAACTTATATTCGATTCGACAGATAAGAAGAAAAAAAGTATCTTGAAAGTATAACATCTGTTTGATAGAACACATAAGTATAGAAACCTTCAAATGCCAAGGATTTTATCGTCATCATAATATATAATGGAGTACTGTATGTTAAGTTAAAACGATTTTCAAGCTCTAATGCAAACATTTAAAGTGATTATTGGTAAAATAACGTAAAAAGAATAAGACTGATCGAATTACTTCTATAACAATTTGACATTTTTTTCACACATTATTAGAATAAAACGAAAGAAAGTTAATATTTCTTTTTTTTTTCTTGTTACTTTTTGTAGAATAGTTCATCATTGTGGGAAGATTTAGCATCAAAAGCAAACAGAATGCATATTCAACTAAAGTAAGTTCTCTTTCTTATAATTGTGCTTCATCAACCTTGAAAATTGCGTTCAAGTAATACTATTTAATAAAAATAAATATGCCTATGCACGATACGTTCATTGTGTTCGCCTGATCAAATCAACAGGAAAAGCGTTTTGAGAGAAATGCCATTGCAATAATCGAGAAGTTGATTCTCTTTTTTTCTTGTCTATTATAGACGATGCTCTGTCTTATATAGCTATATATATATTTCTTCATTGATGAGTGAGATCGATAATTGAATGATACATATGCACGCAAACGAAGTAATATGTGATGAACAGCTTCTTTTTGAGGAAGAAGTTGATGAGAGAAAGAGAGAACAGTCATTATCAGCTGTCACAATATTTTCCCTTAAAGTAATTAGCACTTGAACTGATGCTGGTACTACTTGATGAAATACTAGGCAACTAGACAAGCATTCATCAATATAAATGAAAAGAAAAAATAAAACATTCGATCACTGGATTATATGTATGTCATTCAATTTAGTTGACACACGAGAGGTAGACGAACAGATGCATGTGAAAATAGTCATTTTGATATTTACATACTAATTTCTTCTTATTCTTCTCATTATAAATGCATAAATATACCACAAGTTTGTCTGTACATTTCCTAATGTATATTTCATAGTTTAAGAAAATGTCAGTTTATTTCTTTTCTTTCCTATTATTTACAATTTATGATATGATGAAAGTGACTTGATCAATCATTACTATTAGTTTCACACATATGTGCACATTCATCAAAAAACATCAAAATAACTGCTGATTGTCTGCTTTTGTTTAGATCAACGATTATTACTTTTAGTCTTTTTCTTGATGCTTTTCAACGCATTGCTGATTTAGCAACAAATACAAAAGGTGCAACTAGAGAAATTGGTACAGCATTAACACGTTTAATTTTACGTCATAAATCAATTGAACAAAAATTAAAATCTTTTACAAGTTCATTAGTTGAAACATTTATTCAACCATTAAATGAACGTATTGAAGAATGGAAAAAATCAGCAAATACATTAGATAAAGATCATGCTAAAGGTCTCAAAGGTATTCACATATATATATATATACATATATTTTGATTAGATTTTTATTGATTACTTTTCCTTATATAATTTTGTTTTTTTAATATAATAAGATTACAAAAAATTGCGTAATGAACTACGTAAAAAAGCAACTGAAACAGCAAAATTACAAAAAAAATGTCGAAAATGTAAGATATAAAGAATTAATAGTATCTTTTGCTTTTTTTATTCTAAAATATCACTTTCTAGTACCAAAACATGATACATTACATAATAAACTTAACTCAGCTATACAAGAAGTATCAAATTATTATGGAATGTTAGAAGAACGTGAAAAACAAGCATTACGTTCAGCAATGATTGAAGAACGAAGTCGTTTTTGTACATTATTTACTTTATTAAAACCTGTCATGGTAAATAAATTTACAAAAATATACCACCATTAAATTAGTATTTCCGAGTACCGGATATAACAAAAAAAAAGAACTTGAAAGATTCTTTGAGGAATTGGAGTAATTTCCTTACGGATTTCTTTTTCTTTGTGCTTGCTGTCATTTCCGTTCTCTAGAATTGTAAATGATCTCCAATGTGATAACTAACGTCACTATATCGATCGGTATAATGTATGCAGTTTTGAAAGTACTGTAGCATAAATTTTTTGAGTTCGTTGAAACTGATAGCATAAAGTGTAAGTCTTCTGTACTAATCACAGTCCAAATTAACTCTAATTATGAAGTAAATTTTTATTAATAAAATATATACTGAATTCTTTCTAATAAATAATTCGAATTCGAATAGAAAACACTGTACAATGGTTTATAGTGGTAAATACTATCACCGGTTTTTATGAATATATTGTGATAGTGCGAATAAACGTGCAACATGGATTGTTAATATATATATATTTAAATTTTGTTTCTTTTTATGTTTATTTTAATAGGAACTTGAAATTTCACTTGCATCAGAAATGAGTCATATTGAAGATCTTGTTCAATATTTAGCTAAACATACAACTGATCCACATTGTTTACCAACAGCTAGTGAACAAGTTATTAAAGATATTAAAGGCATTGATTACAGTACAATCGTTGCATTTAAAGTAAAAGAAAATTTTTTTTTGTTTGCATTGGTTTTTGTTTATTATAAATATGTTTTAGACTCCACCATCATCACCGGGTTCATTAAGTTCACGTAAATCAAGTGTTTGTTCAATAAATAGTATTAGTAGTTCATCGTCAAGTTCAACAAATAATTCACATAGTCCAAGTCATAAACAAATACAAATACAACAACAATCACAAGTACCTATACCAATTCAACATCAATTTTGTCAGTCAAATAATAATAATATTAGCAATACTAATAATCGATCATCATCAATACCTGTAAGAATATGCTTTTTCTATTTGTTTTGAAAAGAAAACTTTATTGTTTCAATTATTTTGTTTTAGTCAAATGTAGCTGTAAGTCGTTTGTCAAGTGTATCATCTCAAGATTCAGGTTTTACATCACAAGAACAGTTTTTTGCTCGTCCACCATCACCACTTGAAGAAGCAGAAGTAAAAATTGTTTTTTTCCTGATTTTTGTTTTTGATTAAGCAAGAAAAATTTTTTTTTTTATTTAGCGTGAAGTTGATGGAAGTTCTAGTCCGTTATTAGTTGTTTGTTCAACATTAAATGCTTGGGCTAAACGACCTGAAATTCCATCGAATTGTAAACATCCGGCAACAGTAACCGGTGCACCTGAACCAGTAAAAAATTGTCGACCAGCGATAACAGCACATACATTTGATCCACCATCACCTAGTTTATTTGAAAAACCAAATTGGCAAATCTATGAAGAAACAAATCGTCGAACTACAACAGTTTGTAGTTTTAATATTATTTTAGAATAAAAAAAAAAAAAAGTCATACACAGAATGATATATTCTTATATTATAGATTTCGGAAGATGGTCTTTATGGTGCATTATCTCGTCAACATTCAGTACCATCTCGTCGTTGTCGTATGCGTGATCTTAGTTTAGAAAGGTATTCACCTATGCGTGAACAACATTATCAATCAACATTAAGTAATATTTCTAATGGACGTGTTAAACCTACTCAACCACCAACTGTACCCCAAAATTATTATGGTACAATTACAAATCGACTTAGTCCAGGTAGAATAAACTCTCGCTTGTTATATTTTATTGCTTGAATTATCAATCTTTGTATTAACAAAAGATGTTAATCATTGATCAAGTTTATTTTGTGTTCTATTAGAATTTTTTTTCAAAAGGATTAGTCTATAGGTCAAATCGACACTAATTTATTGACCTCTATATAGAATAGTTGTGTGGCTACGTAGTTCCAACCCAGTTAACAGAAAAATTTTAGACCGGACGAAATTGTACGAGTCATTAAAGATTGCTTGTCTGGAATGACCTCTCAATATCCAAAGACCAGTTTATTCTTTCTTCTGTCATATAGAATTAAGCTTCCATGTGGTTTCTATAGATTCAACTTTGCATCAGGATGAAAGGATTTGAATAATAGGCGAGACTTTTCTTATTTCATTGCTGATAGATATAATAAGATTTTCGAATCATCAATATTGAGCTTTCTTATAGTATACTTCAATAGTAATAATTGTCACGAAAGATATTTATAAATAGCATGTTTCATTGTGACTAGTAAAATAAAAATAATTTTATTTATTTAGAAGATATCAATCAACGTTTACGAAGTTCGACATTACCAACTGAACCAGTCGTAAGAACGAATTCTTTCTAATCTTATATTGAAAAATTTGAATTTATTTTGTTTTCTTAGGCACCTGATACACGAACAATAGTATGGCGTGAACGACAACGTCAAAATGGTATTGGTTCTACATCACAATATGGAACTTATTACGGTAGACCCTCATTTGAAGCAGCTGATGAAACACTCGATGAAAGTTAGTTCATTATCTTGAAAAGATTTTGTTTTTTATCTATAAACTTTTTTTTCTTGAAATTTTTAGTGTACGAATATTTAACAAAAAGTATGTAATTTTTTTTCCTTCTAAACATATTTTCATCTGAATAATAACTTAAGGTATTCATTCATCTAATAATCAACCACAAAAAACTGAAACACTTCGTCGTGGTATGTCAATAGCTTTAAATCAAAATGAAAAACCACCACCGCCACCAATACGTCGTACACCATCAATGAATACAAATTGTTATCAACAACAACAACAATTCAATAATGGTTATATTGAATTACAATCACGTCTTAAAGCTCGTTTAAAACGAGCTGAAGAAATAGCCAATCAAGTTGATTTAATTAATTCTCAACCACAGAAAACGACAACAGTAACAAAATCAATAACAACAACAACAACAATTGTTTCACAATCAAATAATGCTGATGATGATTTCCCACCACCACCACCTGAATTTCTTCTCAATGATAATTCAAAACAATCCTCAGTATCAACGACAACACCGCAGCCACCACCACCAACAGTTCATTCATCATTACTTGCGGAAATTCAGCGTGGTTTTAAATTACGTAAAACGGTGATTAATAGAGATACATCAGCGCCACGTATAAAATAATTTATTTCTCAGGAATGACTTTGCTTGTTTTTGTTTTTTCTTTTCTAATCATGTGCAGATATTATTGTCCGATTAGGATACTCAGTCTTGACAAAATGAAATAAACATAAATGACTTTTTTTGTACATAAATCTTTATATACTACAAATATTCATGTATTAAGTTTTCTGAATTTTTTTTTTCGTGCGTTTGTTGTTGTTTATTGCTGTTGTCTGTTTTGTTTTTTTCTTTTTCAAAGAGCAGCACCATATTCAATACACAGTTGTTTCTTTCTTTTTTTCGACAAGATACAGATTCTCAATTGAAGGATTTGTATATTAATCAGATTAAATTAAAGAGACAAGTACTGAAATTATTGATTTTCAATTATTTGTGATTATCATATTTGAACTTAACATCGAAAGATTTTTGTTACGTCATTTTTCTCAAAAAACATGTTTGGAGCTATAAATATATGGCATTTAATTTTTGTGAAATAATACATGATATACTATCTTTAAATTTAGACACTTCAGTATTTTCAAACTGAAAGAAGAAAGTACTATAAACTGATATGAAAAGCATTTTAATAAAGAATTGAAAGAGATTTGATCAAGTCATATTTTCCAATATGAAGTAACATTTCAATGTTGGCACTTTTTATGGAACTCATATTGTGTTCTTCGAAGAAAATTAATCAGTGTAAGTTTAAACTGAGACTTTGCTAGTTTCTCTGGGTCCTTGTTACCCGATCATTGAATACATTTTCATAAACCTTTACCCCCGACAGCAGTTTCAGAAGAGTCATTGATAAAATAATTTTATAGATAGAATATTAGCCTGCCTAATATGTCAATCATTGGATCTGATTCATCGAGTGTTCATCTCTTTGTGTAGACCCGTTGGATTGATCTGGTGACCTAGTGGTGGAGAAAAAGAATTAAATGTCATATTAAACCTTGTTTTTTTTTCTTTACTCACACTGTTGTGAGTAATAAATACTATTTCAACTTTTTCTGAGTTGAAATCTGTAATACATATATTAACTTTGTTCTTGATGATCTTCCAGCTGCCTAATAGTGACTTCATGGTTAATTATATATCTTAGTATGTGTAATTCGCCGAATTATCTGTTGACTGTAGATAAAGAACATTTTATTTCGATAAATTAGAATTTTTTTCTTTTTTCAAAAGTATCCATTTTGTAGGTCCAATATTTCGAAGGCAGAACGATGAAAAAAATCTTCTTATCCTTATTAAACTCTATGCTTCTTTTAATTTCTGCAATCGTTCTACAAATAGTCACTCCTGTGACCAACGAAAGTTAAATGGTTAATAACAAGGCTTAGACAGTTCTAGAGCATTCCAAAGCCTTTCTTGAAATTTAAATGGCAATAATACATTTTTTTTAATGTTCTAACAAATGCATTGTCTGATTTATGCACACAATAATGATTATTCGATAGATATCAAGGATGATGTCTAATAAAATATTGATTTATCACAATGATCATATGATCAACACAAAAAAATGAATTGATCAAGTTCTAAGTTTCCGAAAATAATCCATATCAATGTTTCTGGATTTATCAAGATACATAATAGCGTGTTAAGAGCTTCTGTAGACATGATCAATGTGTGTAATAGAATTATTTATCAGATAAATCAATGGTAATCATAATAATAATAAAGTATGAAAAATGGAATAAGAGAAAAAAATTTCTGTTAGAAAAATAGCAATACACAATCGATTATTGCTGAAAAGCAATTACATTTAAGGTGTGAAAGGGCTGTGCTAAGAAGCTCTTGGCAAGAGAATTGGAGTAGTACTTCATGAATAATAGAGAGAAGTTAGAGTCGAGTTGAAATGGATCTTAATAATCGATAGACTGAGTTGCAATGATTTAGTCGGATTTGTCGTAACATTTGAGTTAATAGTTTCTTTTATTGATGTCGATTAAAGTCGATGTTGATTTGATAACTTGTCGAGTGAAAATGAGGGTGACAAGACTACGAGGCCGATCAATTTCCCATTCCAACTTGAAATCAAATGAAACGAAACATAGGAGACAATGTCTAAGAAACCAGTGGTTATAACTTATTTTCTATCAAATAAGTAGTTTCTTTTCATAGAAATATTAATTATCAGTATTCAACAAAAAGATTAATGAGAAAAAAAATACAGTTGTAAAAGAACACTTCCAAGGGAAAATATATTAGGAGACGCTTACCGTAAACTTTTTTCGAAAAACATTTTAATTAAAAAAATCAACAAATATCACATCGTTCGGTGCAGTTTTCCATGCTGATTCTAAAGATGTTCTCCTTAAGTACTTGTGAGACAAAAGAACATGGAAGATCTTTTAAAGCCAGGATTGTTTTAAAAAACCTGTCGCTCAATCTAAAAGTATTTATGTGAACTGAGTAGACGTGCCAGACAGAGAACAACATTCTATGAAAGTTTCTTCGAGTTTGATATTGTGCTAAAGTGTACGCACTGATTATACTAAATACGTCCTTTTTTTTAGAAAACTCTTAGTTCGGAAACCATGCAAACTTTTTTCAACAGAGAAACTGTTAGAACAAAGTTTTTTATTTAGAACGATAGAGCAACAGCTGTATAACTTATTCCGTAGATCTTTTTACTTTCTTTGTAAAAAGATATTTTGCTATAAGATGATATAAGATTGGTGATTTTTTGAAGTCTAGGATTTTCTCAAACCCTTAAAGAGTTAGAATAATTTTCTTTTAAATCAAAAAGTCGATCTTTGATCAAATTATATCAGACATTATTCAAGTCGCAAAAAATATCATTTTAATCTTTTCACCAAATGTCTACGTTATTATCTACTGTGGAAAAGAATTGTTTTTGAATAGCTTGAGTCATATCACAAGATCTGTTCAAACACTTGCTCTGATAGGAGATGATCTACTCCAACAGTTCAATTCCTCAAACTGAGTTGTTTGAATAATTATCTCTTGTTTTGAGAGCAGCATTTTAGTGATTAAATCAAAAATTTCTCAAACTTAGAGTTTCTTTCTCAAAAATAGAGCAAACAAAATTTTTTGTGACAGCTCAGTTCAAAATCAGAAAACATTTTCAATAAATTCTTAGATTCGAAATAGGATTGAACTTGTTGATCTTTAACAACACTCGAATCCAGAAGCAGATGTAAAAGAATTCAATTTTTTACAATAGCATTAATAAAGCCTGACTTTTTATAATTCGAGTTGCAGTTAAGATTTTTAAAACATCAAAAATTACTGTTGAAGCAGTATTGAAGTGATACATAGTCGCAGTTGCGTATTTCTGACTTCAACATCATATCAATCGATTGACAACAATTTTCATCTCTGTCATAATCTTTTCTTCTTTCGATAAAAATCTTCTGATTCATTTATTTAACAAATCCTCAACAGATCATTATGAATCTTAAAATGATTATCTAATTTTCTTTGAAAAAATTAAAAAACTTTTCTTGATAAAATGCTCGATTATATTTTGTTTTATTGTTTACATATACGATATCATCAAAAAGCGATAATGAGATTCATAAGAAGAATACAAATAACCATAAATCAAATCGAAATACCAGTGACAAATAAAAAGAAAAAGAAAAAGAAAGAAAGATGAGCATTTTATCTGACTACATGCGTAGAACAAAAAAAAAATCCAGCCACTAATGACAAAAAATCCTGATTCGTTCAACAACTAAGCAACTGCATTTTGTGATACAACACCAGATGTCTTAATTTCCAATAATTCTTTATTAGCATCAACGTCATAATTAATTTTTTCATCGTGAACATCATCTCGTGCCCATGGTTCAGTTTCACCACGAGCTAAACATGAAAATGCAATAGCTGATATAAGAAATGCTGCAGAATACATCATAAATGCCAATTTCCATTGTGCTGCTGTTTTCTAAATAAGAAAACAGAAAATTAAATTAATTATTAAAATTCATTGTTTCTGTCTTTTATTCTCTAATACAAACATTTCGTGTAATGATACTTGTTAAATATGGTGCACAAAATCCACCAATGCTTGCTAAAAGAAAGACAAAATAAATAGTCAATTTTATCTATTAAAATTATCAAATATTTTCTTACAAATTGTATTACAAATACCAAAAACAACACCTGAATGAACACCACTAAAATCTCCAACATTAACAACATAACCACCTGACATCATAAAACCACTAAAGAAAAAGAAAAATAATCAATATTTAGAAAAGAAAAGAAAAACAATAATTTTCAATTTGTACTTTAATGCTACACCAATAACTAATAGTAAAACTGCTAAATAACGACGTTCACAATTAAGAAATGATATTAATAAAAGACATATTGCCGGTGATAATGTTCCAATACCATGAAATAATTTTCTTGTATTAACACGTTTTAAGAATTTTTTTCTTATGATAAAATCTGCTAAGCCACCTGATAACATAACAATAATAAAACTACCTATATGTGGTAATGCTGAAAGAAAACCATTTTCTTCAATACTAAATAATAAGACTTCATTCATATATTCAGGTACAACTGCCCATATAGCTATGAAAAATTCGAAGAAATAAAAAAAAAAAAGTATTATTATATGGAAAATATCAACTAACCATAAAGACCAAAATCACATGAAACCATTGATATAAGAATACACCAAAAGCCTTGCGAAAGTAACATTGGTCCCCATGGTGTTCTCTAATATGAATATATATGCGAATGCATATACATGTATATGATAGATGTTTTTTCTCTTACTGTTCGTGTATCTTGAATTTTTTCTGCAGCTTTACATGCGTGAATATATTCTTTTTCATTTTCTGACATATGTGTATTTGTTGCAGGTGTATCACTTGCAAAAAAAAGCCAAACAATTGACCATAGTATACCAAGACCACCTAAATTATTCTATGAATATATTAAAAATTAGTCTAATTGAAATTTATTTACCAAGAAGATAGAAAAAGTATGCCCAACCAAATCGAAATATAAATGGTATTGGATCACTTAAGGTAAATCCACAAAAAAGACCACCAATTATTAATGATACAATAGTACCCATTGATGGTCCTAAAAAGAAAAGAAAGTTTTTTTTCGAATGTGATCAAAACATTTCCATTGAAGAAATTTACCAGAACTTTGAAATGACAAAAGAGTTGTTCGTTCGGCTGCTGGTGCCCATGTTGCCCAAAAACGAAATATTGTTGGCCAAAGACCACCCTTTTAATAAATACAAAAAATGATTCTGGAATTAAAGAAAAACTATTCTAATAAAATATAACAACGGTAAAATTTGTATTAAAATAAGTGATATAACAGTAAAATGTTTATACTTCTGAGACATTGAATTTTAATCTATGCCGCTTACTTTCAATAGAATATCTCCTTCGATTGAACATAATTTAAATCATATGATCTAATGACGAGTTTCGATTCGATGATGTATTACTTTTGTGAAACAGACACCTTAGCACAAGGGCTTATCAGAGATATGACAGATACATTAGAAATGGCGTGACAAATATAACAGCGACATCAAACTTCGCCTTCGGATTAGTATTATAATTGTCGATTATTTTTCGTTCGCATTCATTGCAATATATTGCGATTGACATCTTTCTGCATTGACAGTGGATAGGAATTCGTCAACCGAAACATATATTGACTAGTCTTCACTTTTACAATGCCAACATCTCCGTGGTGTTTCGCTTTGTAATCACACAAAGATTGTGCTAACGACTATTTTTTAATGGTTTTCACTGAAAAAAAAAAGATATATATGATCACATTCTTAGTATTACTATGCATTCAAAGCGAAAAAAGTAATACAGGCTTGTCTGTGATGAATTACACAGTAGTAATTGATATGTACTAATAGAAAAAATTATATAGAAACAGATAGATTGATTCTTCCTAGAAACTGATGTCTTGAATTCTCTAAGAATCTTTCATAATTTAAAATCGTGATCATCATGTCTTCGGAATCATCATCCTAGTGCGCTCAGTTTTTACAGATATTATATTAAAAAAAGTAAAGTATTTTATATTTCTCAAGAATAAAAAATATAAAATGACTAGAAAATAGATTATTTTTATGCATACTTGAGCTGCACCCGCCAAAACTCGTAATAAAATAACAAAGAACGGATGAAACTTTGAGACAATAGGTAAACATAGTGTAGCTATTGATGAAACTAATATGAGTATAGCAAGAAAACGTTTTGGTCCAAGTATATTAACAACAACAGATGATGGTATTTGTGTTAATGCATAACCCCAATAGAATGAACCAAGTATAAGACCACGTGTTGATTTAGGCCAAAAAAGAACTTGACTTTCCTATTGTACATATATCAAATAATTACAATTAAGATAGAAAAAAAAAACATTCGTACAGATCGACTCTTTTGTATTGTATGTTTATGACATGCTGCTGGAATATCATGTTCAATGCTAGGAGAATCACTACTACTGGTTGAAGTTACATTATCGGCATCTGGATTAACCATACAAACAATGCCAACGCTACAATCAATAGAAGAATAAAAAAAAACAGAAATCTTCACTTATCATTATAATTAATAAATCATACGCAAGTCCATTTCGTTGAGCATAGCAGAGAAAAAATCCAAGAAATGCCAAAAATGCAAGAAGAAGACGATGTGAACACACTAATCGAGCTATTATGTAGGAAAAAAACAATTGATTAATTTTTTATCCAATTAAAAATCTTTTTTGCGTACCATTCAGTTCGCCAGCTTCATTAACTGTATACACGTCTTTACTTTTCGTCATGATCAAATGTATTTCTAAAAAAAGTAACAATACAATAAATATTTCTAAATGTTTTATACTCAAGAACACTGTCCTACATTATATGATGCAATGTCAGTCGCATACATTATTATGTTCTTGCATCATATTTACGCTATTTTAGGCTCAAGGTAATTTATGTTGATACGTAGATACAATTATATATATTGAAAAAAAAATGGAATGAAGGAAGTCAAAATAGAAAGGAAATCAATCACAAGAATGATCAAACAAATGTTAATAAAATAAATGTCAAATAACCTATGGTAACTATTTTTTTTTATGCGCTGTTATATTTTATACACAAATGAAATGTAACACTAAGGTCATTAAGTTTTGAAAAAGAAAAAATTATAAATATCAAATGATAACATTAAGTTTACACTATCAAGATTTAATTGTCAACCTATGACAATATCGACTGTTTCCTTTCTATAAATAACTCGCAAAACATCAGTTGTTCTCCCCTTTGATTCTAGTGCTTCATCGAAATATGAGTTCTTATAACAAAGAAAAGAACGTCATTAGAACTATGTTATCTTTAATTAAAGAAAAAAGAAAAAAGAAAAAAGAAAATTGCTTTTGCATGATATATAATGAAGAAATTAAAGTAGCTTGAGTTTCATTATGATGACATGAATAACGAATGAAAATTATAAACATTTCTATTTTCACTTATAGGTCTCATTTCTTTTATATAGATGATGGTAGTAAAAAAAAAGAAGTTAGTCTTTGAAAAGCTTTTTTTTTCTGAATGATTAATTAGGAAATCTTTTCCTTTGAGTATTTCTATGGGTGTACAAATAATAAAATGCTTCTTATTCTATTTATGAATTAATAATAAATACGTATGTGAAGATTGTGAAAAATGATGATGGCATGCAGACAGATAACGAGAAAAAACAGACAAGAAAAAAACAACGATGAAGAATGAAAATTCCGTCATTTTATACTGATTAAGATGTGGATCGATAAAAAAATATATAAATATTCATATGCAATTATTTTTACTGACAGACTATGATTAAGTCAAAATGTGTAGTCCAGCAAATGTAGACTAATAATAAAAAATGTCATCTTCAGACAAATAATTCAGTAGAATTGTTATCAATTTTTCGATTCACGATAATAAATCTTATTGAGCTAGAAATAAAACGTTTATTACTCTTGTTTTTTGAATAAGAAGATCAATCAAAAGAAGCCTGTTGAGAAAAATTATGTATTTTCATTTTTTTGTGCTAATTCATTAATGTTATTTATTATCAATATTCAGTTGATTTTAATCAAGAAAACTTTTTCAATAGTATTTACAAGTATACAAATAATGATATTATTAAAATAAATACATGTTACCATAATGAAATACAGATTAATGAAAATTTTGATTAATTTTATTTAGTAGGATTTTATCAAAATAATTTCCTAGATTTTACATGTTTGANTCTTCCTTTATTTACCTCATCATGCATGTTGCTGTCTTTTTCATCCTATTTCTTTGCGCCTATTCATGAAACAACACGCACTATGGAAGTTCTCCTCTTTTTTTCTCTATACTTTTCCTAATGGAATGCCACTACTTGTCGTTTTTTCTCCGTTGCTATATACAGTTGCTCTTGTATGTGCGTATATGCGTACAATACCATAAGAATGACTAATATATGGTCATCAGTCACTTAATCAAATCATTTTTCGTTGCTTCGAGTCCAGTTCTATTCAAGTAACTCTAGTTCCACCGAACCAGGAATACACGATAGCTTGAAATCTATTTCTTGCGGTTCAGTGAGTTTAAATCGTTTACGAAAAGCACAAGTAACAAGAAAATCTGATCTAAACGATATTGAATAGTAGCTTTTTTCCTTAATGTGTATTTGCAATGCATTAAATAGTGGTAGTTGTTTTTTTTTTGAATAAAAATTTAAAACAAGACAACTCATTTTTTAATTGAGTCCTTATAGTGAGGGAAGTTTTTTTCGCAAAAATTTTGCTGTTCGGGAAAAGTTTTTATTTTTTCGGCAGATTCTGCACGTCTGAAAGAATAATTCATATAATACCTCTGTAAAAAAAAAATAGAAGGACTATTTGTGAACTAATGAGCCATAGTGTGTTAGTTCTTACACAAGTGAGAAAGAAAGAAGTCTATATTAGAAGATTACAAAGCTCATTGAGCTACTTCTAAGAAGATACGTGATTGTAGTTAATTTGTTATGAAATGCAAAATTCATGTAAATCAATGTCAGTCTGTTTTCTAGAACGGGTATTAAAAATTTATAATTTCAGACGTGATGCTTTTCGAAACAGATATATATGAGAGTGTTCCAAGACAAGGAGGAATTTCTCAAATTCAACCAGCCAGAGTGTGGATAGAAAGAAGATAAACACCCACAACCACGTCTATACCCACATTCTCATTATATGTTCTCAAATGATCTTAAATCATCTGGAAGAAAAAATATTTCTCTTGTTTTTTCCGAATACATTTAAAGCAATTAAGAAATCAGAAGTTCTTGTACGGATTTCTGGCATTGCAGTTTGAAATAATCAGAATATAACTTTGTTTTTTGGAACTTAAGTTAACTTGGCATATTTTTCATCTTTTGGATTAGGCAGCTGAAAGAAATGTCTTACAAATTTGGAAAATCTGCCAATCATATGTAGGTCGTATCGATGCAAAGAACAAACTGAAAGAGACAAGAGCACAAAATATTCGTGAGATGGAAGAAATATATATTTTTTCTAAGCCTTTCCAAGCTTACAGAAAACGCATTCAAACGGATACTTACTTCTATTATAGAACTTTTGAATGAAACAAAAACTTGATGGTCGAGCTATTCAAAACATAACCAACATTTTTTTTTCAAATTTTAATTTTTCAAGAAATGATAAGCATTCATATAATAATCGAAAAATTGACATACAAAGTTTTATTTTTTCTAAATATGTCAAATAAATATGTTTGAGCATAGTAAAAGTAGAAGAGTTACACTATTTCTTGAAGTTATATGAAAATAATTTATAATGATTTTTCAAGTATTAAGTATTTTCCATTACAGGAGCATCACATTCTAACTGCAGAATTTGAATCTTTTGAAAAGAATTTTCCTAGGTCTAGTCTAGATGAAAAAGATTGTTATCGATAAACCATGACTTAAAATGTGTTGTGTCTTGAATTTTGCTAGTTTTTATGCAGAAAAGCTATGATGGAAGTCTCATGAAGACGCCTTCAATATACTGTTTTCTACTATGTGAAGCAATTCTGATGTTATATAAGAATTAAAATAGATGCTTGTAAAGAATTATTATAGAATAATATTCGCACAAACATTGGTGACCTTTTTATTGATTAATATAAATAGCGAAGCTCCTAAGAAAAGTTCTATTTGAACATAGAAATTCGATTAATAAATTTATTTTATATCTATAAAGGAGCTATCTCTTCATTTATTGAGCAGTTTTAGGAAAAAGAGTAATATGAAAAGATGACAATTTTGGAGAAACATCAGAGATGGAACCGATTGGATTCGGTTTGCACTTTTTGAAAAATGAGGTCGATTCGTTTTGAAATCGTTTTTGTTCGATTTGATTCGGTTTCAAAAAAGACGAAGCGATCCCATCTCTAAAAGACATAATTATAATAGATAAGATAAATTCGTATTGCATGAAATGAAATAGAAATAATTCACCAATATTAAATAATGTCTTCTAGTTTTCTAGATTTTAAAAATTAATTTCATACATGATAAAGTATTGACATCTTTTTCACTACACTTTATTTCTGATTTTTTTGTCTCTTTCAAATCGTATCTAGGTTGTATTCAAGAATCTTTTTCAAGATATCATAGTGAATCCTAAAGGATTTTGCAAATACACCTAAAAATTTTTATATTTTCGTGGAAAACTTTTTTCAAATTTGATAGAAGAGAGAAGGACTGAGCATTTTTTTTTCAAGATGTGATTATCTGATATTCTGTATCCGTTTATATTAATTTTAAAAAAAAATAATTATCTGCAGTTTGGTCTTTTGTTTTACTCATGTTTCGAAGAACAACAAATCACTTTGAATCAAATAAATAAAATATCGAAGTTTTTCTGTACTGAGCGTGGTTTGTTTTTAATATTAAACTAAATTCAATAGAACGAACGTACACCTACGTTTATGATGGTTCAAAATGCAAAATTGAGTTACCAAAATTGTCACGTGAAAATCTAATTATATCATTGCGTTATCTATTCGCAAATTCGTTCTTCCTAGTGCTGTGAAAGAAAAAAAAGGAGTTTTGCAGAACTTTTTTGAAGGTTCTGCTATCAAACAAAGCGCAGAACCCTTTAAAATGGTTCTGACTGGAAGGGGTTCTGTGAAAACTTCAAAAAACCATTTTCAATTTGTATAAAATACGGTTCAATCGCACTGATAAGGTATCACATTTGGAGGGTTTATCGTAAAAACCATCATATTTTTTACCAATGGGCTCTGTAGCTCAAAAACAACTTCATGTGCTCTAAAAGCACCATATTCTTACGAAACCAGTATGCTTTTCGATTTTCTGATTATCCGAAAGCTTTTAGGAGTTTTCAGAATCATAATCCGGGCAACCACTTAATGAATTTTGATGAGTAAACCTAAAACGAAATAAAATAAAACTTACGTTAGTTTTATTATCCCAAGAATTCTGACCTTCTTAGTTCAATCTGAGATGAGTCTAAAGTGAAACAGAACAATGGTTAATGTCATTATTTCAAGAGTTCTTACCGTTGTGTTTTTATCGTAGATAAACCTGTAACAAAACAGAATAAGAATTAGTTTTATTATATCAAGAATACTTATCTTGGAATCTCGACTTCAGATGAACCTAAAATAAAAAGAGAGAAATTATTAATATTATTATTTCCATAGTTCTTACCAGGCTATTTCCATTTCAAATGAACTTAAAATAGAATAAAACAATGATTAAATTTAGTATTTCACGAGTTCTTACCTTGACATTCCAATTTTCAATCAATCTAAAACATAACAAATGAATGATAAATTTAGCATTCTAAGAGTTCTTACCTTGGTATTTCGATATCCAACTAAGGGTGCCATTTTTCTGTTAGAGTTAAACAAGTATAAATTACCAGTAACTAAAATTTAAAACAAACTTAACTTATTTGCTTTTTGTAATTCATTAAATTCAAAATAAAACTAAATTGTTCCATTTGTTTATCAGTTTTATAACTCTTCAAGAGATAGCTAATGATGGTTCCTATAAATTTCTAAGGGCTAGTCCGGGATAGTTCCTGTAACTTTTGAATGGCAATCTAGAGATAGTTATTATGACTTTTCAAGGGCTACCTATAGATAGGCCTGGGAAGTTTATAAAGAATCCCCCCCCCCCCCCCCTTTTAAAACCCCGAGAGAGGTTTAAGGGACACCTAGAA